GAAAGAAAGGGCCAGGGATTGATCCCCCACCCTTCACCTGCCACAGGGAAGGGCCTAGCCCCAGAGAGTGATGAAACAAGCCAAACTCCACTTGCCTGTGGCCTTTGGCAAGTTACTTCCCCTCCAGGGGCTCTAACTTTCTGGACTAAGAAAACAATCTTGACTTCCCTAGATTGGTGTAAGGTTCTCCGCTCCCCCCGCCCCCCCCAGACCAGAACACAGAACCCTCAAGCAGTTATCCAGCAGACCTCAAGTTTGATGGTTTCTGCTATAGACCCCAAAACACATCCCCTCCACCCCCAACCTGAGTTCACTTCCTCTTTTTTCAAGGAGTAGAGTGAGGGTGGATAAGCCCAGGCCTACCTCCTCAGCAACTTTCCCTCACCCAGTCCCCTGCCTGTGTCACTCTCACCAAAGTCACTGGCCTAGTTTTCACATAAAACCCTACCCCAACCCCCAGGGCGCTACACTGGCCTTCCAGCAAATCTAAAGAAGCCATTTTGCCCAATTTATGGGTTAGAAATCTGAGGCTTAGGGATATGTCCTGCTCAAGACCAGAGATAAAAATGGACCTTCACTGTATCTGATTTCAGACTTCCAGGGTCTCTCCAGTCTCACACATTTGCAACTGGTTGGTGGTGGTGGTGTGTGTGTGTGGCGGGAGGGGGGAGGGCAGTTAATTAAGCATCAGCCAAGGTTAGGCCCAGTTAAGGAGCTGGAGGGATTGTGGTTAGACTTTCAACCCAAACACACAATCTCAGGTGACTAGAGGTGCTATACACAGATGCACACCTGTTTATCCCACTTTAAGTACCATACTTCCTCTTGACCAGCTCCCCAAAGACAACTCTGCGAGAATCTGACTGCCCAGGGCTCAGCCAGCTCCCTCAGAGAGCCTGGGTTCCTTCTCCCTCAGGCCAGGGTTGGCTGGGTGCTGAGGTGCTCCAAAAACCTGAGCCAGGATCACCTATCAGTGGCAAAGCCTGAGAATGAGCTTCCTCCACAGAGATTCAGAGTTTTATTCTCTCCCTCGATTGGCCAAGAAGTAGCTGCTCTGGATAATCCTGCATTCTTAAACTGGACTATGGGGACTGCCTAGCAGGAGGAAGCACAAGAGACCTTACAAAACCAACACTGGCTGATGAACCCGTGCCTAGGAAGCCCAGCTCGCGGCAGAGCCTCTAAGGGGCAAGGAGAGCAGGCGCATCAGGAGTGAGTTCCAACCAGGAAGGGGCCCCAAGGAGAGCCTGGGTTGGAAAAGGCAAGAATGTGGCTAGTCGGAGATGGGTTGTAAGAGAGAAGGGATCCAAGCAGGCCCAAGGCTTCGGAGGCCACAGGCGTTGGTACACCTGAGTCACAGTCGGAGAAGCCAGACAAATATTCTCCCGGAGCCCCGTCCCCTCCACGGCTATCTTCCAAGCCCCCCGGAGAGCACTCACAGGCCGGCACCAGCTCCAGAAAGAGGGTCTTTTGCGTGTGGTCCCGCTGCCGCAGCTGCCGCACGATGTGGCGTTTCCAGCGGGAGGCAGGGGCTCCGGTACTGCAGGGTTCAGCCATGGCCTTTCTCTCCCGCCTGCTCCCCGCGCACCAGGACCCAAGCAGGCGCCAGCAGGCAGGGGCGGAGCCTCGAGGGGACTCCCTGACGTCGGGAGGGAGGGCCGCGGCGGGGAATCCCCGGGTTGTACCAAGAGCGTATTTGGGGGAGAACAGAATGCGACCGTCGAGGGACGCGGCCCCAGGGTCTACATCACAAGGGGCCCAACAAAGAATTCTTACCTAACTGGGGGCTCCAATTGCTGTCAGGGGTAATAACCGGGACTCCAGGTCGGAGCCTCTGCGGCAGCTTCCCCCGTGCCTATTGGAGCACTCCGCGGGCGGGGCCTCCTGGGCCAGTACTCCTTAACCCCTTAACAGTGCCCGCGGAATTCACAGAACCAGACGCTCGCCCACGCCCACTCTGGAGCAGGCAGTGCTCTAAGGCTCGAGACTGGAGACCTCCGTACACCTGGCCCCCTGCCGTCGAGGCGCTAAAGAACTGTGAGGGGAGACAACACGGACACAAGGCGCACACGCAGTATGACAGCGAGATAAGAAAGCACAGAGGAGGAAGGAACTGAAGGGAAGGGGGCTCAGCTTTCCAGAGATGATGGCATTTGAGTTGGGTCTTGAGGGAAGAAGTAAGAGTTGGCCAGGAAAAGAGAGAATAGGATTCCAGGCAGCAGGAAGAACAAGTACAAAGGTTCGATGACATAAAAACTCTTGGTGGATTCAGGCCTGGAAGGACAGGGGGTGAGCAAGGTTTAGGGATCCAGTTCGTTGCAGAAAATTTAGGTCCCTGTGAATAAAAGGGATTTCATCCAGCAAACCCCCGGCGCAGAGGGGAGACGCCGATTGCCTGAGATCGCACAGTGTCTGAGCTGTCCTGCAGCCCAGTATCCTGACTCAGGGCTCAACAAACGGTGTACTTTATTTGGTTAGCCTCTGGAGGAGCAGAAACATCTCTTGCAGGCACACTTGATAGTAATCATGGGTTTGAGGAAACTGTGATAAAATTACCTCCAGCAAGACCCATGTCTAGAGCTTTCTGCAGACACAGGCTGGTGTGAAGAATGAAAGGAGGGATTCATTGGGCCCAGCCTTGCCTGGGTGTACACTGTGTAAGACCCCAGCAGGCCCTGCTCTCAGTGAGGGAATGCAGACCTGTCTGTCTCCAAAAAATAAGAGAAACTGGGCAATGTTGGGAAATCACATAGGCCCTGGAGGTGATGGGTCTCTTGAGATGCAGATGGGGTGGGTCACAGGACTCAGAAAGCAGTAAATGCCAGTGGCAACCCAGGAGAGTGTACCCTGCTTTGAAACCACAATGAACTGAGCTCAATTCCCCAGAGCTCATGTCATTATCTTTGACCCTCGTTTCCTTTGCACATGTTCCTTTGGAACACCTTCCCCTCTAGTCATCCTGGCTCCTACTCAAGGGTCACTTCCTCCAGGAAAACTTTCCTGCCCCTAAGTTAAGGTTTCTCTGACCTCAGCCCTAGCCCAAGCCTAGCCTATCTGTAGAAGTGAGTGGTGGTGGTAACATTCACTAGAAGGCTTGCCCAGGAGAAGAGCATGGTAGTCATGAGGCCCATGACCAGTTGGCAGCAGTGATGAATTCCCTTTAGGACTGGCTGACTCAAGGGTTTTTGGGGATATCATCAAACTAGATGAGGCTGTTTACATTGAAGGGCGTGTTATCAGGGCCCTGCCTAGCCATGAGATGCAAAAGTGCCATTTCTCTCAAGTGAGGAATCACATTGGGGTCAGGGTTCCTAATCTTTTTTTGACTCAAAACATTGCTAGGAAATTTTAAATAATGTCATTTTTAAGTAGTATATGATAAAGATTTTGACTAAAAATATTATCTTCTATCTTTAGACTATGAAAATTATATTATAAAGTTCACTTAAAATGAAATTTTAGATAATATTCATAATATATGAAGACAAATTTCTATTTTTCACATTTAGCATAATGTGTGATTTATCTTTAATTATGTTAGAAAAACATAATTCAATGATCAATAAATATAAAAAGTGATTATATCATGATTTAGAGGCTTAATGTACTTTAGAATATAGTTTGAAACTTGCACTTGAGTTAGGCATCTCCGGCAGGCAGAATGATTTGTTTAAAAACCTAAGACGGCTCATATTATTTGTACCTAAAACCCTCCTAAGGCTTTCCAGAATATTTAAAGCAAACCCCAACCTCTTTTTGTGGTCTTCAAGGCCCTACTTGCTCTAACTCCTGCCGGTACTTCTGACTTTAACTTCTTTCTACTCTGTAAATAAAGCCTTATTCACAATATTGAAACCACCGCCAAACTCAGTCCCACCAAAGCACCCTGGCTGTCCCGTATTCTTGGTGCTTTTCTTCAAGAACTTTTAGGAGCTAGCACCACCCCTTCTTTCAGAAGACCTTCCTTCTTTGCTCAGTCTGAAATAGCTCCCATCTCAATCAATGTCTATATCATTGTCTAGTTGTTCTTCCTTTCAGAGCATGTATCACTCCCAGAAGGGATCATGTTTCTGTGTTTGTTTAGTTGTTTACGGTTTGTCTCTCCTACCAGGCTGGAAGTTTCAAGAGAGCCAGCACCAAGTCCTCTTTGATCCTATCTCTGTCCTCAGTACCTAGATTGGGGCCTAGAACCAACTGAGTAGGTGATTAGTAAATATTTATTGCTGTTGTTATGGTATCAAAAATATACAAAACCAGTTTTCATGACCCAGCATGCAGAAGTTTTGAATTCAAAGCTGTAGTTATTTTTAATTGAAAAATAATTCACATGCACATAGCCAAAATTTCAAATAGCATGAGTGAAACTCTGCTTCATACCTTGATACTGGTCAGGATAGAACATGCTGGTCTGTGGTCTTTTGGTTATCTATCACTTTTTCTTACCATCTCATGACTCTGAGTGTTGGCTGAGCTCAGCTGGATGATTCTCATTTCGAGTCTCTTACGTGGTGGTAGTCACAAGCAGGACTGGAGTCATCCGAAAACTCAGCTGGGCTGGTTACTAATGATGGCACACTCATTTTGCTGGCAAGAGATGCTGGCATTGGCTGGAAGGACAATTAAAGCTGAAAAACAAAATGCCTCCATGTGGCCTCTCCGTACAGCTTCGGTTTCTCAGAGCATGATGGTTAGATTCTGAGAAGGAGCACCCAAAACAAGCATTCATTGGTCAAAGCCATCACAGTCCAGCCCAGAATCAAGGACAAGAGACATAAACCCCAGCTTTCAATGAAAGGAGTGTCAAAGAATTCCTGGCTATCTTTAATCTACCACTTATTATACCAAATAAACCATATCTCAGTGGCTTAACACAACAAAGTTTGGTTTCTCACATCGCAGTGTGGGTTAGACAATGTTGGCATACTGTTCTCCAGCAGTAACTCAGATCCAAGCTGTTTCTACCCAGTACCTTCATCATCTCAAAGTTCTTTGATCCTACCTACTTAGATGGGAGAGAGGTTGGGTGTCAGGGAAGTGGGGAAAAAGATTTTCACCGGTACAATTGCCTTGGAGCTAAAGTGACACATTCCTCGGCCCACATTCCTGTTCTGAGATCACATATACTAGGAAGGTTGGGAAATATAGTCTTCCCATATTTCCTAGAAGAGAAAAATAGATGTGAACATATCATTGTTACTGACACACAGTAATTTCCCAGTCTCCTTCTCTAGAAGCATCACCATGAACAATTTAGTGTGTATCCTTCCAGAAATATGTATGCATGTACAAGCATATAAAAACACAAATGTAGTATTTACACACTGTTTCACATGTTGCTTCTTTATATATTTTCAGTATATCTCAGAGAACTTTCTATATCAGAATATATAGATCTACTTCATTTCTTTTAACAATACAAAGCATTTCATTGTGTGGATGCACTATAATTTACCTCATCAGTCCTCTGTTGATAAACATTTAGACTACTTCTAATTATTTATTCTTACTGTGTTATACCATACAGCCTGTATATAGATCACTGCTTAACTATGTTAGTGAACCTATAGGAAAGTTTCTATAAGTAATATTTAGAATATATCTGTTCAGTAGTTATAATATAGCTTAGTAATATACAATTAGATAAGGTAGTAAAACTAAAGACATTCACAACAGCAACAAAAACTAATATACTTAAGAATCTACCCAAGAAAAAGTTTACAAGCCACATATGAATAATATAAACTAATTTGAATGTTTGCATCATATATATATATATATATAGTATCTTAATGTGATCAGTTATACTATATATATATGTAATATATGTATGTATGTTATATATATGTGTGTGTGTGTGTGTGTGTGTGTGTGTGT